GCTCATGTCTACTTGGGGACTGTGTAGCCTTGGTTGGACAGTTTGCTATTTACTCACTAGCTTCTCCTTTCAGAAATGCAGGTGGGGGGAGGGTACAGCTCAAGTGGTAGAGCACATGCTTAGCATGCACAAGGTTCTGGGTTCAATCCCCCAGGACCTCCATTAAAAATTAAAAAAACCTAATTACCTCCCTCACTGCCAAAAAATAATAAAATAATATAATAATAAGTAAAATACTTAAAAAAAGAAATGTGGGTGATTCTTAACTCAGATTAAGGGTCCTGAGGAATAATCAATGGGTCAGAAATCTAATATACTTATATTCATGTCTCATAAATATCTTTAGAGCCTCCATTGTATCAGCAGAGTATGTCTCTAGGTCAGGTTCTTAGCATTTTGAGATAAATGTGTTATTTGAATTTAAGATACTGCAATTACAATTATTAACACACAGGCAATTTTAGTGCTTATCCATAAAATACAATTGGTTAATTTCTTTGGAGGCACTGATTCATTTCTAGATGCTTTCCAGAAATTAGAACTATTGTTGGCACCTAATGCAAAAGTGTTATAGTAGGTAGTGAGATGAAGTGCAGTGAGAATGACAGAGATGCCTGCCTGGGCTAAACCATGTCAGCGTCTCCACCTGTGATGATTTCATCACTGCTCTTGGTCAGTGTGATTTGACAGAACTGTCACAGGCATAAATGAGCAACGTAAGGGGCGTCTTTTACATTCATACTCTACGTGATAAGGGTTTAATGTTTTAAATTAATGTCTGCTTTTGAAGGTGATTATTCATCCTCATTTAAATGCAATGCCCGCACTACTGAAAAAGACAATCCGGGCTAATTGTTCATTCACTTATAGAGGTGTTTTGATTTTTTTAAACCAAAATTCCACACTTTCTAAAATTGGATAAAGCCCTGACTTTCCCATCTGAATCCTTTGGGTCGAAGGGCAGTGATATGCCTTCTCCTCAGCTCGTCCAGTCCAGGTGTCCCATGTGTGCGGGGTGTGAGCACCTTCCCAAGAGGTCCAGCGCTTTGAATCCCCAGCCAGGGGCGGAACCAGGTGCAGCTGATGGCACATGGACCGGGCCTTTGCAGATGGCATTGAGGTGGAAGCAATTCCAGCTGCTTCCCTTGGAGTGAGAACCCGGAAGTGTCGGGTCCCTGGTGGGAAGTGGAAACCCACGTGGAGCCTTGTCAGCCCGGAGGCTGTGTCCTGGCCGGACTGCCTGAGCGCGTGCAGTTGGAGGAAGCAGACTCTGGGAAACCTCGTTCTCCGGCCTTCTGCTGTCGCCCTCAGCCTTCACATCACCCTGGCATCCGACTGCCCAGGCTTTCCCGTTTAGAAGATGCCTGGGGCCTCCGGTCTCATCCTTTTTAGTTTCCATTTGCAGCAGAACCACAGCTTGTCCGTTTGACCTGGCCCGCATTTTCCATATGTGCTGCCCTGGCCAATTTCCGCCATCAGTAAAAGTCCTTTTCATCGAGTGATAAATCTAATGACGGGAACTAACACATGCAACAAAACCCACACAGTTCAAGGTCATGGATTTGTGTTGGATGGGAGTGAAGGGAAGGAAAGTGGATTCAAATTTGGAAAACATTCAATTCACCAAACATTTTTTGATTGACTCTTGTGTTTCGGCCGGTGCTGGGAGCTGAGGGTACTGCAGTTGAGAAGCAATACTCTTGGTTAAATAAAGAGCCTTTTTCTCTAAAGTCAAACTGACTTCTACTCATAGAAGGAGGGACATCCTGGACCTGCCACTTAGCTGTTCTTGGGCGAGTAGTGTGAGGATGGGGGGTGGCACTAATGTCTTAGTGACTCATTTGATGATTACTCCATTGTTTGAAAGGCTGGATGTTATGTAATCAACATTCTGTCCCCTCTCCCCACTCCCCCCCCCAACAATCTGGGATTTTCCATCATTTTGTCAACCTTCCTGGAGGCATGTTGATTTTTCCACTGGATTTTTTTGGGCATGTCCCAGGGCAACCCAAATCCTCCACTCCCTGGAACTTCAGATCCCCCTCCGTGGCAGGGCCTGGGAGGGCCGTGGCAGTGAACCCTCCTGTTCTTCCAGGGCGGAGGGTGGACTCTGGGCAGTTTCCCGACAGCATCGCTCAGAGCAAACCCAGGGAAAGTGCTGCCTGCCCTTTATTGCCAAGTAATTTCCATTCATTTTGACGTTCAGAAGCAATATATTTTCTTCTTTTTTTCAGAGGTCACCGGTTGTCAGTTTTCCCCTCCTGTGTTTCCATTTTATTCAGCCAGTAGCACACTGTGTATGTCCAGAGAACTTTTTAACTAGCCAGGGCTCAGAGATGGCTGGTGGGGAACTGCTGCAGGGCGCCACCTAGAACTCAGCCATTTTATGTCAGTTTCATCTGCTACACTGAGGAGGCAGGGTGAGCAAGAGGGCTTCTGGAAGTTACTGCAGAAAAGTGCATTGCTTCTTATGGGTCACAGGACAGCGAGGAGGAACTCTCAGGACATTCCTTTGCTTTGTAGCTTCTTGTGGGAAATTGTGCCTGAGGTGAATTCAGAGGGCTTTAAACTTGAATCATATTTATGTATCTTTGCTTTGAACATGGTCTGCATGTACATGAAGGGGTGGACACGGCAGAGGTACAGATACAGGTGGAAATAGTGAAAGAGGGCATGTTTGTGCCCAGTCTGCAGATTGTGGTCCCTCACTCTTCTTCACCACCTGCATACATCAGGTTTTGTAGGTATTATCTCCTGTCTGCACTTCAAATTTGCCCACTTCCATTGTCTGCATGGCCACCTTCCTAGTCAAAGCCACCACCATCTCTCACCACGGCTGATGTGAGAGCTTTTTAACAAGTTTTACTATATCCATGCAGAGTTACCTCCTAAACCATCCTTTACAGAGCAGCCACTAAGGCCATCCTTTTCCCCCAATTTTTTAAAAATTGTGGTTAAATGAACCTAACATGAAATTTACCATCTTGACCATTTTTAAGTGCACGGTTTAGTGGTGTTAAATACATTCGTCATGTTGCACAATCATCATGGCCGTCCAGCTCCAGAACCCTTTTTATCCTGTAAAAGTGAAACTCTTGTTCCCATTACCCAACAACTCCCCAGTCCCTGCTCCCTCCAGGCCCTGGCAACTACCGTTCTCCTTTCTGTTTCTATAAATTTGACTGTTCTAAGTATCTTATGTAATCTGGCTTTTTGTGACTGCCTTATTTCATTTAGCAGGCTGCGAACGTTCACCATGTTGCAGCACAGGTCAGAATCCCCTTCCCTTTTAAGGCTGAACGATGCTGCGCTGTATGTATATACTGCAGTTTGCTTATGCATTCATCTGCTGATGGGCACCTAAGTTGCCTCCACATCTTAGCTGTTGTAAATAATGCTGCTGTGAGCATGAGTGTACAGATACCTCTTTGAGACCCTGCTTTCCACTCTTTTGGGTTAATAGAGAATCTCTAAAACTCAACAACAAAAAGAGAAATGACTCTATTACAAATGAGCAAAACACTTGAGTAGACGTTCCTCCAAAGAAGGTACACAGCTGGCCAGCGAGCACTCGGAAAGATGCTCCAGATCACTAATCATCAGGGAAACATAGATGTGATACCACGTCACATCTACTACGGCGGCTACTATGAAAAAAATGCAGAAAGTAGCGAGTGTTGGTGAGGAGGCGGAACCCTCGTGCGCCGTGTGGGGCGTAAAATCGTGCAGCCCTTGTGAGGAAGACTGTATGGCGGTTCCTTGAACAATTAAAAATAGTGTCCCCGTAAGGTGATCTTAAAACCAAGTGTAGTCATGTCATTCCTCTGCATAAAACACTCAGTGCCTTTCTGTTTTACTTAGGGTACGATTCTGAATTCCTTAGCACACTGCCTGCTTACCTTTCAGCCTCCCCTCCAGCCGCTGTGCCCCTGGCCGCTCTGCCCCGGCGGCACTGATCTTTTAGATCCTCAAACAGGGCGAGGTTCCCTCTTCCCCCATCTCAGGACCTTTGCACAATTTTCTTTATCTAGGATCGGGATCCTCTAGTTTCAGTGGTCACCAGGATCACCTGGATTCTGTGTTAAAAACGGATTTCCGGGCTCCACCCCCCACCCCCCCCCACCCCGGCCCCGAGGTTCTGACCCAGGAGGCTTGGGTGGGGCTGAGAACGCGCACTTCTCACCGTTCCCAGGTGATGCTGATGCTGCTAGTCTGGGGAGCACACTTTGAGAACCACTGGTCTGCAGTATTTAAAAAACAACAACTCCTGTGTGTCCTTCAGACCTCAGGTTGAAGTTCTCCCTTCTAAGGGAGTCCTCGGATTCCTCCAGACCTGCAGGAGTCCCTGTTTTGTGTTGCCATTGTATCTTCTCCTCCTCCTGCGAAGCCCTTATTGACGTTGTATTTGGACGTTTAATTGTGTAAGTGCTTTTTCAATGACTGTTTGCCCTGCTGGAGTCGGAGTCCCAGCTCCATACATTCAGGGTAACTTCTGTCGTCTTCACGGTTCTTCCTGTAGTTCCGTGCATGGAGCGAGTGCTGAGTAGTTGCTGCATGGATGTTGTTACTGCCTTTACACAGGGAACTGGAAGTAGGTAGAAGCACTGGTAATCTCAGTGAATGGGGGCTACGGGGACTTCGTAGAGCTCTGCAGGAAGAAGAAACAGACTTTGTCAGAGAGACGGGACATCCTAGGCAAGAGTCAGGTTTTTTTTAAGGGCCCCACCACACTGTGGAAAGCCCCCCAAATTTCACCTGCCCTGGTGAGGATGTTAGTACAGTCATGTCTGATCTTGCCTTCTTCAGGCCTTTCATGCTCTGTTCTATTTCACGGGTGGTTAATTACCTATTTCTTTTTTTTTTAAATTGAAATACAACTGACATATAACATTGTATTCATTTCAGGTGTGTAACAGTATGATTTGGTATATGTGCATGTTGCAAAATGATACCCATGATGGGTCTAGCTGACATCTGTTACCGTATTTTTTTTCTTGCAGATATGGAATGTGCAGATGTCCCACTGTTAACTCCAAGCAGCAAGGAAATGATGTCTCAAGCCTTGAAAGCTACGTTCAGTGGTTTCTCTAAAGAGCAGCAACGTCTGGGGATTCCAAAAGGTATGTTAGGAAGAGAGAGGATGGAATCAGAGACCTGGGCACGGTCAGTTCCCCACCTGGGCTGTGAGGTAGACATTGTTTCTCAGCAGCTTTCAGTCAGCAACTGCAGATCTTTGCAGACAGCTGTTGGGACAAGCGCAGACACCTGTTCATGCTCCTTCGTCTCCTGGCTTTGTCACTGCCATCTTGGCCTTAGGGCGGTGGTGCCCAAGCTCGTTTGCACGTTAGACTGGGGATTGTCAAAAACATTGCCCAGCCCAGGCCATGTCCCAGACCCATCAAGTCACAGTTGCTGGTAGCATCAGTAATGCGCAGGCTCCTCAGGGGACTCGGTAGTACAGACAAGCTTGGAAAGCGCGGTCTTGGAGCCCTTCCGGGCTGCCACTGGACGACCTTGGCGAGCTGCGTTTCTGGGAATTTACTTTTTTCTTTTCCGTGTCCTTGGTGAAATGCGTTTACACATCGGGGTGCTTATCTGAACGGGTTTCTTCAGGAATGTGAGGGAAAATGACTCGAGGGGTCAGGAAGGGACAATGAGTAGGGAAGACTTGGTCTTGACCAAGCAGCATTTCGTGGACAACGGAGAGCGGAATGAGCACTTTTCTACTGAGTAAGGGAAATGCTGTCTCCAGCATTCCTCCCTGCCAGGCACAAGCCTTAGGTAGGTTCTACGACTGTGTCCCCTTTTCCATGAACTCTCCTTCACCACAAGCCCCCGCTGACAGCAGTGCCCGGCATCCTTGCAGGACCATCAGGCAGAATAACATGAATTTTGACCACAGGGTTTTCCAACATCTCATAAAGTCATTTTCGAGGCTGAAGAGGGTAACTTTGCGAGCAGGTGTGATGTGGGTACCACAGCTTGCCATCACACTCTGTGAGTGGCATCAGCTGGTGTGGTCACGTTGAAGATGATGTGTAGTCTGTTCTCTGCTGCCTCTCAGTGCAGGGCCCGTGATACCGATACATTTTGCAGGGGATCTGGTATAATACAGGTACCTAATAATGTTATTGCTAAGCATCATTTGGATGACCTTCTGTTACTAATCGTTGTGATTGTTACAGTCAGCCCTCCATATCCGAGGGTTCTGTGTTGGCAGATTCAGCCAACCCCAGATCAGACTCTGTTGCTTGAATCTGCTGACTGTACCCCACCATTTTACATAAGGGACAGGAGCATCCGTGGGTTTTGGTATCCGAGGGGGTCCTGGAACCAATCCTCCTTGGATCCCAAGGGATGTCTGTATTAATTGTAATTAACTAAGAGAAAAATAATTAAACATAAGGACCTCAAGCAAATTACCCAAGTTGAGAGCAGGGAGAGCTGAGGGCAGCCTCCAGCCCACACTTGACTTTGCTATTATTGCTGTTAAAGAAGCCATTTGTTTCCTTGTCCCAGGCTTTATAAAAAGTCTGGTGGAAATAAGGCCATGAGGGAGGGATTCCTGGAATCTTTGTCTGAAGGTTCTGCAGGTAGAGGATGCTCCATCACTTTTTGCCCGATGACAGGGATCTTCTAGCTGGCGGGATGGAGAATCCAGGGATGTTGAACATGGGGAGGAGGGTTATGGAAGGTGCCCCATGTGGGGTTCCTAATTCTGTGAATTTGAGAACCTTCTCAGAGATGATCAGATCCTTTCATGTCCTCTCCGAGGCTCGGGGATGAGTTCAGAGCCTCATCTGCTGGATGTTCATTTGCTGTCGCCCCTCAGACCCCCGGCAGTGGACCGAGACGCATGTTCGGGACTGGGTGATGTGGGCTGTCAATGAATTCAGCCTGAAAGGCGTGGACTTCCAGAAGTTCTGCATGAACGGAGCGGCCCTCTGTGCGCTGGGGAAAGACTGCTTTCTTGAGCTGGCCCCAGACTTTGTTGGGGACATCTTGTGGGAGCATCTCGAGATCCTGCAGAAAGGTAAGTAAATGTGTAGGCACAGGGTGAGGTGGGGGCGGTAGGGGTGGTTTTGGCTGTCGTGGGGGGAATATGCCAGGTGGTGAACATCGAATCCAGTATCTGGATGTCTAGTTGCAGCTCTGTGGTCCTGGAGACGCGCCGGTACAGTGCATGGTTCAAGGCAGGTGGTCAATATACATTCGTTTCTCTTTCTTCCATGTATTGGAGGTTCCAGTTTTAATCTGTAGCAAGACCGTGCTCCTGAAGCTTCTTGGTTTGCAAAATTCAGATCCCAGTCTTTACTTTGACTCCTGTACTGTTAGAACAAGCAGTGCCCACAGCCAGCAGCTAGAGAGCTTTTCTTTCTTTCTTTTTTTTTTTTTTGGTCAATTTGAAGACGCACTCCCTTGATCCATGGCCACATCCACGAGAAAGCTCAGTTTCTCAGAACTGCTTAATAAGACGGCTTCTCTGCCCACTGGCTGGGGTGGGATCAGAGTCGCGCAGTCACCTTTTTCATCTGGAGCAGAAACTGGGGTTATGTCAGGACGCCGTGTTGCAACCTTGTAATGACATGGCCTCCCCTCCCAGCCTCTTCCAACCTTTTTTGGACCAAGTGACTCATGTACCACAGTCCTGGCTGGGTATAGAAACAGCAGCAGGCGGCAAACTTGGGTGTTTTTGCGCTTATTTTTCTGAATTTCTTCTTAAAATAAATTGCAGTTACCAGCAGTCAGCAGTGCCCTCCAGCTGACTGTAAGCCTAGAAGCCCGTTGCCCTCTCTGACCCAGGCCCACCCTTTCCCTGTGGTCACCAGCTCCAACCCCCGGGCAGACGCCGGGGGCAGGGAGCAGAGCTCAGGCGTAGCACTTTTCTTCCATATAATACCTTCCTTTGTTTGAGGCTATTTTCCACCCTGCAGTGCCCAGGAGGGACCCAAATTAGACTCCTCTGGGCATCGAAGTGTTATCTTTTTTTCCTTTTTCTTCAGCTTCTGCTGAAAAAGGAATAAATAAGCAAGGTTGAGAATGAGGTGAATCTTGGCCAGGAGCACTGGGCAGCTGCCCCGGCTTCCCCGAAGCCCCGCCGTGAGCTCGGTGTAACTGCACACAAACCGCTCAGACGTGCTGACGCGAGCGCCTGTTTATAGAGGGAGAAGATACGGCAGGCGCAGAGCAGATCTGATGCAAGCACTGGCTTCTAAACCCAGCAGTGGCGTCTAGCAGACCACGTCACCCGAATGTGTTCTCCTAATCCACTGCTTCCCTCCAGTCATCACCAGGGGCAGCCAGCGATGGGGAGGGGCTAAGTGTGCCTCTCTGATCATAGTGACAGCTGATACCTGCACAGCATCTCCTTGTTTCCAAAGTGCTGGAAAGTACACTTTCTCTCTGGATTCGCCAAACTAGCCCGGGACGCGGGAGGGCGTGTGCTCTCAGTGTCCCCCTCTGAGACACGAGGACAGCTGGGGTGGTTTCCTCAACATCACTCATTTCCTTACACCTGGGTCTTTTCAGTCGAACTTCCTGTCCTGTGTTCTTTGCCTAATGACGCGAGCTCATCAGGCAGCTTCTGGCCTCCTTTCCTGCAAAGGAATTATCTAAGTGAGTTTAGGAGAAGTGGGAAATAACTGAGTGGGTTTGAGAACAGAAGTCTATCATCTCATCCGTTCCCAGTGGAGAGAGGCGGTGAGAATCGTCAGCTCTTCAGATCCTTCAAGGGCTGAGCGAGATGTTTGTATTGAGGCTCCAGCTTTTGTTCTGGAATTAAATTAAAGCAGCCCAGCCCCGAAAGAACATAGCTGTCCTGGGTGGGGTAGGAGGCCAGAGGTACCGGGGATGTTTCAATCTGATAAGCTGCTGAAGCGGAGTGCAGTCATTTTATCTCGGCTGGGAACTGTTTTTCTGTGCAGGCATGAACTTGTTGTCCCAGCAGTCTCTGCTCCCAGAAAGCTGTCAAATACCGGAGGGAAAACCCAAACCCACCCTCTCCGGGTCTGAGTCTTGTAGTGAAATGCGATCAGACTGTTCCGTGCAGCGGCCGGAGGCCACAGCGCTAGGTTCCAGGGCTATGGGAGGATGGGCCAGCTCCCCTGGGCTCGGTGGGGAGCCTTCCTCTGCCTGGTACCTTCATCCACGAACCCATCTCGTTCCTAGGGGAGTTGGCATCTAGGCGGGAGTTTGGTTAAATGACACTTGTCTGTTTTGTATGAGCCAAGTGGAGTCACCTTATGTATGTTTGCATACGTACAAACTTACGTAAGTATGTACGTAGAGTCACCTTACTTGTGTCTCGTGTCTTATCTGGACCCAAACTTGAAATCTGAGGGCAAACGGAAAGAACACAGACCAAAAACCAGACATCTGTTGGAAGAAGTGGAGGCTCCAAAACCTACCTGCTTGGGGGCAGGGGAGGGTATAGCTCAGTGGTAGAGCGCATGCTCAGTGTGCACGAGGTCCTGGGTTCAATTCCCAGTACCTCCAACTGACAGGAAAAAAAAAGTTACTGAAAAATAGATCAATAGATAAAACCTACCTGCCTAGGAGTTTGGGATTAACAGATCCACATTATTGTCTATAAAACAGATAAATAACAAGGACCTACTGTATATAGCACAGGGAGCTATATTCAGTTTCTTATAATGAGCTTTAAAGAATCTGAAAAAAATATATACATGTATATGTGTATGTATATGTATAACTGAATTGCTTTGCTGTCTACCTGAAACCAACATTGTAAAAAACCCAAATCAACCTGCCTGAAGATGGTCCTGTCTTTCTGAAAAGGTTTGGGACTGATCAGCTGCAGTGCTGGTGACTGATTTTGGTAACCTCCCAAGACGTCTTCAAGCGTGTGATGCTGGTGGCCCCCACGTGCATTGGAATGAGGGTGGACCCCCCCCCCAGCCCTCAGGGATTTCACGCCAGTGCACTTTCCAAGATATTAAATCCCATTTCGCAGCTACTGACATAATAAACTTAGCCATACTTCAGAGATCTCATCTCTAGACAAGGCCCCAGTCAGTGGAGACTCAGACACCAGCTCAGTGAACGTGCAGATTTCTTAGTGGAGGGGCTGAGGTCACCACGGTCCTTGCGTCCAGGGTCCCTTTAGGCCGAGCACCGCTCGCACGCTGACCTCTTTGTCTTGTTCCTCCCCGTCTGTTGCAGAGGATGTGAAACCGTATCAGGTGAACGGAGTGAACCCTGCCTACCCCGAGTCCCGCTATACCTCGGATTACTTCATCAGTAAGTTCGCCTGGTTCTCCCCTACCCTCTTCCGGCTCACGCGATGGGAACTGAGGACAGGATCCCTGTCCTAGCTGATCTCAGGCTCCTCGTGGTGATTCTACAGAGAATATTTTCTTCATGTAGACTCTTGGTTCTTTGTTTTGTTATTCCTGCAAAGCACAAGACTTTCCACCTGTTTGCATGTCTTATTAACCTGGGGTTCTCTCCGATAACTTCAACACAGAGTCACGCAGTGATTCCACCACTTCCCCCAAGGCTGGGATCCTCTTTGATCCTGTGCCCTGTGCTGGCCATTGGAAGTTTGGGCTCGGGGTTCTGTCTTGGACCCTGGTGGACATGACAGCCTCTCCCCTGAAATCTTTCCTCCAGGGTGTGCCACGCAGCCTCAGGCTCTTTTTTGTTTTGTTTGTAGGAGTAATTAGGTTTATTTATTTATTTGTTAGTGGAGGTACTGGGGATTGAACCCAGGACCTCCTGCATGGTAAGCACGCGCTCTGCCACTGAGCTCTACCCTCCCCCCTAGCCTCAGAGTCTGTTACAGAACATATAGCCTTCTCCTCCTGATGTCGCATCCCTCAGTCTACTGCAGGGGTGGCCGGAGGGAGAGAATTAGTGTAGGGCTGTGGTTATCCGATGGCTTTGCTTTCAAAGGGCGTCTTAAGCGGGTTGGTTTTCGTTGTGTCTTTTACTTTATTATGATTTTTATTCTGACAACCACAGGGAGCTCATCGTGCGCCAGCGATGTTGGTAGGCTTTCTACAGGCACGATGGCATTTGCCCTGCATCACGACGCTCTGAGAATGAGTGCCACCATCCCTAATTAGAGATGAGAAAACGAAGTCAGAAAAGGGAAGTGTCTCATCAAGGGCCATAGCTCTCAAGTTGGGGAACAAGGTTGAACACCCAGGCCCTTTTGACCTAAAACACTTCCCTTTCATTCCCTAAGGCTGTCAGTGTGTTTCCCACGGCGGGGCCATGGTCAGTGGCGGGGAACCGCTGGTGCCTGTCTCTGCCCTTCCCAATCCCGCACGCTCTGCGTTTCCAGGCTATGGTATCGAGCATGCGCAGTGCGTCCCTCCCTCGGAGTTCTCTGAGCCCAGCTTCATCACCGAGTCCTACCAGACCCTCACCCCATCAGCTCGGAGGAGCTGCTCTCCCTGAAGTATGAGAATGACTACCCCTCGGTCATCCTCCGGGACCCGCTGCAGACCGACACCTTGCAGACCGACTACTTTGCCATCAAACAAGAGGTGGTGACCCCAGACAACATGTGCATGGGGCGGACCAGTCGTGGTAAGTTGGGTTACTGCTCTAGAAATTTCTAAGGATTAACCTAACTTTGTGCAGGTTTCAGGTCCCATTTTTCCCCCTCCCTCTTAGCCCCTGCATTCCTGAGTTTTAGCCTTTCTGTCTTACAATGTCTAGATATTAAGGTGGAATTTCAGCCCAGTCCTTCAGGATGACAAGGATTGAGGGTCCACGGTGGAGTTGAAATCCGGCGGGTGGACCTATCAAATTTCTTACTCGGGTGACACATTTTACCAGATAGTAGCTTTGGTTGAATGGAGCTGCCTTTGAAGGTTTGCGCTGTTTCCTGTGAGAGGACTGTGCTTCAGGAGCACACAGTCACAGGAGACGGTTCAGGAGAGCCCCACACGGAGCGCGTTTCTCCGCGTCGTCCTGGTGTCCGGAGATCCCTGGGTCAGACTGCACATCCCGGCTTGGTGTCCGGGCGATCCCTGCTTCCCAGCCTCCTGTGACTTCTTCGGTTTGGGAAGATACAAGGTGGTTAACCAACGGCTTATTTGGAACCCGCCATCAGCAGTGTGGTGACAGTGTGTATTTAGCTAGAGGACCAGGGAAGGAGGTGGCCAGAGGCTTCCAAAAGAAGGTGCTCCTGCTGACATGACTGCTATGAAATGATCAAATGTTCACTGACAGTGAAACAAACATTTCAAAATAGAGCTGGCTGACCCTGTAAAGCAGAAAAAAAACAAAAGTTGAATGCACTCAGTTTTTAAGATCGGAACGTAAACACTCAGAGGCACAGGGCACTGAGTGAAGGGTTCAGATGGTTTTGTTTCTGGGAAAAGTGCAGGCCATCGCAGGGAGGGACTTGTTCAGCCAGGGAGGACTAGCTGATTTCTAAAGAGCTGGTGGATAAATGGGGAAGAATTACAAACAGGAAGAGGAGCAGGGGAGAGCCCGTTCGAGGGGTGCTTGCGAGGGCTGCAGTCACAGAGGGCAGGCCTGGCCGGGCTGATGGTGATTTCTGCTCAGTGATGACCTGCACCCTCTTCTGAGGCCCAGAGGCCTCTGGGCCATACACGTTGCCCTCTCCTTCGAGTGTTCAGGCTCCCGCTTCCTCCCAGCAGGCCCCAGGATGACCGGCAGGCCTGCAGAGGGAAAGTCCCCAGCAAAATCGGAACCTGTAATCTTCCTTCCTAGGGCCCTGGGGTGTTTGTGTTTCAGACAGAAGGGGATGGGTGGGACCAGTGTTGCCTTCCCCTTTCTGACTCTTTTATTTTTGGACGCCTGTCTATTTAAATACCTGCACACATGTGTGTACCTTGTTTCACAGGCGAGTCACAGCAACAGAACCACTTTCTTTCTCGTGGGGCTTTGTGTGTGTGTGCAGTGAGGCCGAGTGTGCGTGGGGGCCCACCCATGTTGTCACTTGGGGTAGACCTGCTGCACATGGTTTTCCAGTTGCGTCTGGCTTTGCATGTCATTGTCCTGTCTCCCTCACCTTCTCTTGGGCCTTGGTTTCAGTCCCCACCACCCCGGACCCGCCCCCCCCCATGTGTGATGATGGGCCAGACAGTGACCTGTGTGAAGGGACAGGAGGGGCTCCTCTCCCGCCTCATTCTCCCTGCTTCTCCCCAAGCTCACACCGCACGGACTGGAGGGGGAGACCGTTTTGTTCATGGCTGCTTCCTGCGTGTTGGAGGTGCTGCCCTCCAGACCTGTTCCAGGGGCTGAGTGAATCAGACCTGGGAGGACTGGTCCGGACTGAAAGCATGGCTGTGAGCGGGCTGTTACTAACAATAATCATAGTGTTCGGATACCGCACTGGGGTGTACACAGTGCTGTGTTCACTCATCCGGACTCGGAGCGCTGTCTCCTTTGTGCTGGTCTGTTCGGTGGGGCACCGTGGGGCCGCCCCACCTACTGTTCTGCGTGCTCTGAGGTCTGCTGGGTGGAGTCAGACGGCTCTGGGAGGACCTGGCGGGGACGCTTCTTGGAACAGCGGGCCAGGGGACGTCTTAGAGGACATGTGCGTCCCTGCACGAGCGCATGGTAGCACAACTGAGTGTCTAATCGGGTGGAGTCAACCCGTTTTTGGAGAAAATACCCGTAAGTGAAGGTTCCCAGCTCCGGGATTGTGAAAGAGAGCTGAAACGAAAGCGGCGTCCAGCCCCGGACCGCAGCTCTCAGCAGAGCTGCATCTGGCTCTTGTTTGAGCGGCTGCCAGAGAGCGGTCGCGGCCTGGTTCAGGGCCCTTGCTTGCTGGGACTCCTTGGAAACGCCACTGTCTTGCTTGTGGAAATTCCAGTCTGCACGCCCTCCAAATATAAAAATGCTGGATAGAATCAGCTCAGAGACACTCGAGTGGAAAGGCAGCCTGAACAGCGGCGGCTTGGTGGGGAGTTCTTCATCCAAGTATCGGCTGTCTTGCTTAGGACTTTAGTGCTGCTTCTCTCGCAGAGACGCCGACTGACCATTAAGATGGGGAGCTGTTCTGAGCAAACACCTTTTTATAAGAGGCCGCAAAATTTCCTGTTCTGTTGAAAAAGAGGCTGTGACATTCTTGCCCGTGGGCTGTCTTCTTGAGTCTTTTCATGTGAATTTCTGGAAGGGACAATTCCTTCATTTTTAATACTAGTAAAAAGTTGCCAATCTGACAGTGGGCTGAGTGGCCAGGGCTGAGAACTCCGGGGAGCTCTTCGTGTGCCTTCTGGGGAGGACCCTTCTTTGAATGGATGGCTAGAGGAAGGAAGCAGATGAAGCAGATAAATCACCATGTTCCTGTTCCCAGCAGTCCTGGAGGGGATAAGAGGTTCAGGAAATCTATATCAGTAGATGATGCAAAAATTACTTATTTAACTGAATATCTTTTATCTGGGACTTTTAAAAATTTCTTGGAAGCGACATATCTTCCTTCCTAATTACTATATATTTAATTTTGGTTTGGACACCAAAGTTGAATATTTGGATCTCATTGTTTTAGCTAATCTCCTGTGTTATGAAGGGAGGAATACACCAGAAACACACTAGTATTATGCTGTATGTGCCAATCTTATTCTGGGATTTAAGCACTGCGGTAGACGAGCCGGCCCTGACTCACAGGTATTTCTGCACACATGTTTGTCACATCCTTTGGGCTCTTGACTTTGCTGAATTGAATTGGCCATTTCGTCTCCTGTGATTTAATTTAGGTTGCCTGAAAAGTATCTGGAAGTAAAACAGAAAAAAAATACTCCTGGGAGCCTTTTCAGCATTTACATGCATTTATTTTCATCACCGCCCCCCCCCTTTTTCTTTCTTTCTTTTCTTTTCTTTTTCTTTTTTTTTTTATTTGTTAGCCTCCTTTGTAATGGCCTTTTTGCCAATGGAAATTTCTCTCGGAGCCATTATGCAATCCTAGCAGCTGTTTATAACCTGGTTTGGGAAATTAATGAACTTGCATGATCTTGTGGTCAGTGGAGAATGCCTTAAGCAACTCACAGAGTAGAGGCTTTCTGACACTGCTGTGGACCTTAACTCTTTAGCTGGTTTCTCTGGTTTTTTTTATTGCCTACACTTCCCCAGTAAAGTACAAATTTCAAATACAGAAGTGTACTTGGAGGAGATAAAGAATATAGATTTCTGTGTAAAGGGATGCCAGTGTTTTCTTGTTTCACCTCCTGGGAAAAGCATCTCGCAACTTCTTTGACTTTATTTGAGAAGGCGTAGATTCGGTACTCCACGTATTTCACTTTAAAATAGGGTTTGCAAAAAAGGCTACAGAGTAATATTTTAGTTCCAGGGTCAAAAGAGGTCAATCTGGTCTTAGTCTAATGGAATTTTTTTTTCCTTATGACCAAAATATTTTGCCAAATTGAGCCTCTTGGAATCATCTCACTGGCCCGAGTCAGAAGAAGGACTGAATTGAGCCTGCGCTGTGCGAATTCCTTCATCCACATAGGGTCTAGCTCATCAGCCAGAAATCCCATCATCACAGGTGTGGTTCTCAGCCTGTAGATTTCTGGCTCTAGGCTCTGGAGGTCCCAGGCACCGCTGTCTCCCTCTGGCAGATACGAGCAGCCCTGGACTCTGAATCTCTGTCCTGGGAGCTCTGAAACAGGACGGGACCACGGCAGTGGGCTCGCAGACCAGGGCCAGGCGTCTCCACTGGCCGCTCCCTCCCTCCATCGGCGTCTCCACTGGCCGCTCCCTCCCTCCATCCCTCCCGGGGATCCCCACCGAGAGGGTCTTACCGTGTCTCTTCCCATCCCTCCTTCCCGCCTCCCGCCTCCTCCTCCTCCTCCAGGTAAGCTCGGGGGTCAGGACTCCTTCGAGAGCATCGAGAGCTACGACAGTTGTGACCGCCTCACCCAGTCCTGGAGCAGCCAGTCCTCCTTCAACAGCCTGCAGCGCGTCCCCTCCTACGACAGCTTTGACTCCGAGGACTATCCAGCCGCCCTGCCCAACCACAAGCCCAAGGGCACCTTCAAGGACTATGTGCGTGACCGTGCTGACCTCAACAAGGACAAGCCTGTCATCCCCGCTGCGGCCCTGGCGGGCTACACAGGTAGGCGCCTGCCCTGCCTCCACGGTCGCTGGTGGCGGCTGTGGGCGGGCTCCCTGGAAGCCGCGTCCCCAGACCCTGAAGTCAGCCTCTTTCTGCCCGGGGGTCTGGGGTGGGTGGCGGGAGGAGAAGACTCTGAGAGGTGGGTCAGTCTCTTGAGCCACTCTGCTTGTGACTGGCCATTGGTTTTTGGAAGCGAGCGGTATCATTCTCTTCCAAGGGACCCTTTCCAAGAGTGTGAGGGAAAACTTAAGGTTTTGGATCTTTCCCGCCTTCTGGGGGAAGGGAACGCTGTTGAGTTGGTGCTGCTGGAAACTCTGCCTCGGGGCCTAGCACCGAGGGGCTGCTTCTCACCTGCCCTCGGGGAGTCTAAACACAAAACCAGCCGGGACGTGTCTCAGAGCCGCTGCGGAAGGGCCAGCACTCTGGACTCCTCTGAGTGGAGCCCTCAGCCCTAGGCAGGTGCTCAAATGGGAAAAGTGTCCTCGGTCACCCTCTCTCCGGCCAGATCCTGGCTCTGGTTCTGTTTTTGTTTTTTTTTCAGGTGTGAAAGTTGTAGTAGTGGAGCACAAAGAAAGATCACGGGGAGAGGAAGATGTGTCTTGAGGGCTTGGGGTTGGATGGAGAACCTGGTCACAGAGCAAAACAATTCATTGTCCAGACAAGTTGAGGCACATAAGCTGCCTCCCCTTGGAAGCGTTCAAAGAGTTACTCTGAGAACCATCCAAGGAGCATGAATCTATTAATTATGAGAGCCTTTCTCTAAGATTGGAGCGTTTTCTAAAAATTAGACATTGTGTTGCAGAGAGAGCTTGTTTTCGGCTTGGGTTGCTCAGCCGTGGTCTCGGCCTCCCTTCTCTTCTCGTTGACCCCCCTGGACAGGTCACCACGTGGGGACCCTTTGTGTGGATGAAGACAAACAGCAAAATTGGTGATTCCAGTGAGGGGTCTGTCTGGTTTTAAGAAGGTGCTACATCCCTGTTCTTGTGGGAGGGAAATCCCAGGTGTTCACCAGGAAAGCCGGGTGACGTGGAAAGATTGCTCCTCCCTCAGGGATGGGGCTGTGTCTCTTCCCCGCATCTCCTGGTGCAGTTCAGTGCACAGAGAGGTGCTCAGGAATTATGCTTGGGTTTTGAGGCAGCAAGAAGGTCCATATATAGAGTCACGGGCCAGAAAGGAACTTCAAGGTCCCCTGCTCTGTTCTTTCTACAATATCCCCCAAGTCCTTGCTTGAACATCGCTCGTAGGTGGGAACTTGCTGCTTTGCAGGGGACCCCTTTCCTATCTTAGACAGCAGACAAGGAAAGGCTGCCCTTTCCATTAGTGACGCCTGGAATGAC